GGCCGCAGTCTGTCTGATGGCCGCAGCCGCCTGCCCGCAGTCGGCACCCCGCCCGACCCTGACCCGCCTCCCCGCCTGACCGCCACCTCTCGCAGGGCCAAAACAATGTGCAGGTCAAGTGGGGGCATTTTTGATCATCTTGGTGATAGCCATGAAAATATCAGAACTAAGAATAAATTACAGTCGAGATATTTGTCAATCTGTGACTTGACAAGAATTGCCGAGATGCTAGTCGACTCCTTAGAGTGGTGGTCAGGCGGGGAGGGTGCCAGGAGCTCGCCTTGCACAGTGCCAGAGAGGGAGGACCAACGTCTGCATGACGACCAAAGCATTCCCTTCTTCTTGTCAGGTTTATGGAAAATGGACAGCCGCAGGCGGACTCAAAGTTAACATGCCAGAGATCCTTACTTTCATTCAAAAGTTAACCGCCAAGAATTCCAGGCAAAGGAACAGCAAGCATGGATTATGCCCAATGAAAATCAAGACTAATCTCCTGCTATGGTTAATTTAGCGGCTGTGTATTAGTGCGAGCCATATTACGGGTCGTGGAGGCGGCGAGGGCGTCTGGCACTCCAGCCCATGATGGAGCGCAGGCCAGGTGGGTCGGCGCCAACCGCCGCGCTCCGGGTCCTCGGCTACATTCCGTAAACAATGTGTAGACTCGAATGCCACTAACCAATCATTCGAAAATTAAGTACTGGTTATCAAAGACCCGATTCTATCAACATAAATGATAATAAATCTCAACGGGTCATGTTTCTTAAAATAACCCCTTGAAGGACGTCGATCAGTTACGCGCCTGACCTGTAAATATGTTCAGTCATTACGTGACAAGAAATCATGCCCAAGTGCCGCGACCTCCGACCTACACGCCCAGGTCTAATCGAACAATGAAACCACTTCGTCTCTTCGGCGAAGAGGGGGAGAAATACACAAAATAAAAATATGATGGGCATAACCTTGACGTCAGTGTAGCCAATAGTGATGACCCATCAGCTGGAGAATGCGTGTTTGGCCAAGCAGGCCTGAGATCCCCTGGTGGCGCAGAGCAACTCGTTGAAAGGTGGGCCGGTCTCGAGTTGGCGTGAGTGATGGCACCATTACGCTAGAGGAATGCTGTCCCTGCTCGTAGCTCATTACTACATTATCACGGGGGAATGTGGTGCCAGGCCTGGCGCCGCGTGCTTGGCTGGAGCTGTTATCCCGACGCCCAAATACGGCGGAGGACCTTGTGATTTCACTTATGACCGTAAAAAAATATATGTTTACAGTCTTTCTCTTGTCTTCAACGATGCTAAATTTCTTCGAAAAGGATTTGCGAGCGAGTTCAGAGAACGTTTGCAAAAGATGTGTAAACCTGTTTGGCGCAATGATACAGGCATTTCCATCAAAAACGAGTTGCGTCGTGATGGTATTTCATATCACTCTGCCACACGATATCGGAATATAGGGGTAAATCGAGGTTGAGGATTCCCCCCTTTATTTTCATCAAAGAAAAAAAAGGAAATAAAAGTAACACCTTTTCCAGTATTGGGATTAGAAGTGAGTAACTCATTCCGATCGAAAGTAAAAGGCCTGATATATTCTATCCATTCCAGTCACGCTTACACACTATAATCATATAACGTATACTGAAACACACACACACACACACACACACACACACACACACACACACACACACACACACACACACACACGAGCATTGTGACACATCACTATTTCCACTGCATTTGCACGAGAAATTAAATTATATCTAGTGCAAATTATCATACATAATCTTACAAAATCAACGCATATATGCCAGTGACACGGGTCTGGTTGTGTCAAAACCACGATGTTGGGGGAACTTGGATTTTTTAAAGAAATAGATCTGGGTTAGATTACCTGCGGTGGTATACTGCAAGCATAAACATTTGTTATTTACGGATGGCGAAGTATAACCACACGATCCGCAGCGGTCGCTTTTCTTTGTCACTCGCGAATTTGCTCTGACTATACTAAGCATTTTGTAATATCGGTACCGTTAACAAAATTATTTTATTAAAATGGTGATAATATTGATAACTACAATGATAATGACGGTGTTACTAACAAGAAATGAAACAGGAATAACAGCAACAATATCGAAAATAACAATAATACTGGTTTGTTAGTAACGGAAACAACAGTAAAAGCAGAAATAATAGTAACGACAAAAACAAAAATAACAATAGCAATATTGATCATAATAATAATAATAATGGTAATACTAATGACAGTGACAATAACAATGATGATAATATTAATAATAATAACCTACAACAGTAGTGGTGATGAAATTAACAAAATCTAAACTACAATAACAACAACTAAAACAATAATGATAACTACAATAATATCAATAATAACAACAACAATAAAAATAATGATACAAAAAGTAATAATAATAATGATAATAATAATAATAATAATAATGATAATAATAATAATAATAATAATAATAATGATAATAATAATA